AAACCATCAGACTGAAGGGTCCCAGGTTCGATTCTGGTCAAGGGCATGTACCTTGGTTGCAGGCACATCCCTAGGAGGGGGTGTGCAGGAGTCAGCTGATTGATGTTTCTCTCTCATCGATGTTTCTAACTCTCTATCTCTCTCCCTTCCTCTATATCTTAATCAATAAAAAAATATATTTAAAAAAAGAAATATGTCAACATAACAGCTGTTAGACTGTGGGAAAATAATGTTCGAGTAAGGTGTATGCAAAGAATATCAATAAATACCTTTAATGAACTTCAAAAAAAATGTGATTAACTTGTGGGTTTTTTCCCCCAGATAATTTTACTTTAGTACTGTTTTTGTATTTACAATTAAGGGTTTTTTTGGCTTTTGGCAAAATGATGATGGATTACATCAATATAACCCTATAATTTACTGTGCTGGGAAAACTAATTCAATCTTAATGTTACCTAAACCATCTTCATCTCTTTATCGCCTGTCTTAGCCAAAAGTTAGATATGCACAGGGCACTAATAGCATGCCTAGAAGATATACAAGCCTTGAAAATCTATCTATCTATCTATCTATCTATCTATCTATCTATCTATCTATCTAAAAGCCTAAGTGACTGAACGACTGAACAAACGACTGGTTGCTATGATGTGTACTGACCACGAGGGGCAGTCGACCAGTTGACTAGTTGCTATGACGCGCACTGACCACCAGAGGGCAGACACTCAATGCAGGAACTGCCCCATGGTGGTCAGTGTGCTCCCACAGCCAACCTCCCTACCCCGACCCCCCTCATCAGCCCTGATAACTGGCCACGCCAAGGGACCCCACCTGAGCACGAATTTGTGTACTGGGCCTCTAGAGCAGCGGTTCTCAACCTGTGAGTCATGACCCCTTTAGGGGTCGAATGACCCTTTCACAAGGGTCGCCTAAGACCATTGAAAAACACATATATAATTACATAATTGTTTTTGTGATTAATCACTATGCTTTAATTATGTTCAATTTGTAACAATGAAAATACATCCTGCATATCAGATATTTACATTATGATTCCTAACAGTAGCAAAATTACAGTTATGAAGTAACAACGAAATTAATTTTATGGTTGGGGGTCACCACAACATGAGGAACTCTATTAAAGGGTCACGGCATTAGGAAGGTTGAGAGCCACTGCTCTAGTGGGTTTATAAAAGAAGATGGATGGAAGAGTTGGTGAGCTTCATTCCTTCATAATAGCCAGTGCACTTATGGGCATCTGATCTAAATAATACTTAAATATTGTTTTCTAGCAAAAAAATTTCATGGAACAGATGCAGTTTATTATAGAGATCTTTTATATTATGTATATACTATTCTTTTTAATATGTTTTGGAATTAACGTGTTAACTTTTTAAAATACTTTTTTATTGATTTCGGAGAGGAGGGGAGAGAGAGAGACAGAAACATCAATGATGAGAATCATTGACCGGCCACCTCCTGCGCGTCCCACACTGGGGATCAAGCCCGCAACCCGGACATGTGTCCTGACCAAGAATCAAACTGTGACCTGGTTCATAGGTTGACGCTCAACCACCGAGCCAGGCCAGCCGGCCTAATGTGCTAATTTTAATTCTAGGATTCTTAATCATTCAACTTCTGTTACAAGAAACAAGCCAAAAAAAAAAATGTGGAATGCGAAGAGGTATAAAATTATTTTAGTTCTTATATTTAATATTTTATGAGACTTGATACTCTGACAGTGATGTTCCCATTTGTGGATTTTAATTAAATAATTATTGATATTGAATTAATATAACTAGATAGTTGAAAGAGGGAAAGTGATGTAGCATGAGTTAATTTTACTTTTTGTATAAGCAAATTGAAAAAATGCTGATTTGATCTCCTTTTGTGCTCATACATGCATTTTGTCTTGATGATAGAATCATTCATTTATTATTTTAGCAAACATTTAGTATATTACTATTACTGTCAGGAATAATGTGTTTCTTCATCATTGATTGTGATTATTCTCTATGTTATTTACTTTTTTTCCTTTACAATTGGGTTTTACTCAGTTCTATATGAATACATGTTCTAAGTCCACATATATTAATTCCAGAGAAATAGACACCTTCAAAGTTTCTATTTATTCTTTTTGGTGGTTAGAAAATTTGCATTAGACTCAACTCCAGAGTCATTCCTATGGGAGTGGAATGGACCAAGGCTGTGGGTGGGATATAGATGTATACATTGAGAGAATTAACACTTGTTGAATGCTTGTTATATGCATAACTCTTCTGAGTGCTTTAAATGTATTCTTACTCAATCCTCATCAATAACTCTATTATTTTGTTACTATTGTCCTTCCGATTTTATAAGAAGACTGAGACTTAGAAATTATCATAACTTGTTCAAGGTCACACAGCTAATAAGTGGTACAGTGAGGTTTCAAACCCAGTTTTCTGGCTCGAGAATCCCTAGTGTGGTTTTAACCACACTCTTGTTAACATGATAATAAGAATACTTTGCTTCCTTCAGATCTATTCATCCCACTGAAGTCTTTTTCTATCTACCTCACAATCCAAATTTTACTTCTTTTCCCCCAAATCTACCTTTTCTCCTATATATTGTGCCTGTGCCCTCTTGTAGTCCGGGAGCCCTCGGGGGATTTCCAACTGACAACTTAAGCCCTCTCCCCACAGTCAGACACCCTTAGCACTGCTGCAGAGGTGGGAGAGGCTCCCACCACTGCCGCTGCGTTTGCCAGTGATGAGCCAGGCTTCTGACTGAGCAGCACTTCCCTTGTGGGAGTGCACTGACCTCCAGGGGGCAGCTCTTGCATTGAGCATCTGCCTCCTGGTGGTCAGTGCACGTCATAGCAACCGGTTGTTCCACCGTTCGGTCAATTTGCATATTAGCCTTTTATTATATAGGATAACTTGTTATAATTAACATATAGGAAAGCTCTTAACTTTTGTACATTTTTCCTTAACTTCTGTTAATAATAGACTTTTTGTATTTTTCCCCCTTAAGCAATTAGATTTTCTATAAATTTTGGAAATTTGTTTCTTTCTAATTTTTAAACGTTCTTACTGTACTGTACAGAAGTTTCATAACAGTGTTGAATAATACTAGTAGGCATTTGTTTGTGTATTTTTTCTAAAGGAGCTCCTTGTTCAAATCTGCTATCTAGCAATTGCATGAAGTTTACCTTACTCCACAAAGAAACTAGATAAAAAGAATTTTTACCATTGCCCTATGTTTCAGAATGAAATGTTACAGGTTCATAATCAGTAGTTCAATAAGCAAAAAAAATTACTTGGTTTTCTTTTTGTAGTTTTGGGTAATAATTTTGATATAATAAATATTATATGTTCTTTTTATGTCTCTAAATATTATATTTCTTTTGGCCTCTGAAAAGTCCATAGAGTAGTCCTATACTTAGGGTGACATTAAGTAGGCCCATTTTGTTGTGGTTTTTTTTTAAGGATTATCATTGGGGAAGTAAATGTGTTTTTGTCAACTTTAAGTTTTATATTATTAGTTCAAAGCATAGGCATGAGTAAATTCTTTAGATTTCTAGTAGAAAAGAAAAGACAATTTTATAAAATCATATGCATTACTTCTCAGCCTTTTGGCTAAGATCCTGTGTATAATATCATATTCATAATGTATACCTAAGGGTAATTCTAAATATTTTACCATATTAAGGCATCTTTAATTTTTTAGTGTCTCAGCAGATGAAGTTAATTCACCATTATCACCACTCACATGGCAGGTAAGAGGAAATGAAATTATTATAATATCTATTATTTTGTTCTTATTTACTTAGTTAAAAGCAATTATCTTATTACAGCCCTTAGAAAATCAGAAGGATCAAACAGATGAACAACTGTGGCCAGAATCTCAACCTATAATCTGGCAGAGTGAAGAAAGGAGGCGGAGCAAACAGATTAGAAAAGAATATTTCAAGGTACTTTATTAAAGTTGTAAAATTTACTTTGTAATTAGTTTTGATCTTATCAGTTTTGTTTTATGCTAATAAGGTAGAATATAACTCTGGTTACCATATAGTAAATGTGTCATTTTATCTTAATTTTCTACATGTATGTGAAAATTATTAGAAACAAATAATAAAAATTATTATAATATTTCAGTAATTTGAAATAATTAAGAATGAGTAGATCAATCTGAATTGTGGTTTGCAAATTCTTTACAAGAAAGATGTAATGTTTTACACTGCTGGTTATAGCAATATGTAGTAACTAGAGGCCTGATGCACGAAGATGCATGCAAGAATGGGCCTTTCTTCCCCTGGCTGCCGGCACTGCCTTCGCTCTGGCTGGAGCTGCCTTTTTGCCTTCCCACGCTGCCCAGAGGCCCGGAGCAGCTGGGGCGGTGCAGAACGCCTGTGTTCCACCTCGCTCCCGGCCACTTGGTGCTTGCATATGCAAATTAACCCACCATCTTTGTTGGGTTAATTTGCATACTCACTCCTGATGGACTGGTGGGTGTCACGAAGGTACAGTCAATTTACATCTTTCTCTTTTATTAGTGTAGATGTTTTAAAAGAATTGCCCCAAGAAGGTCAATTATTGGATTTGTTTCAATAAATAGCATGTATTTGCAAGTAACATTTAATTGTTTCTATGTAAATACATGCTATTTATGTGGTTCTAAAAAATGATTAAAAGTGTTTCCCCTGCCATTTTCTTTTATTCTTATTACATTAGGTAGATTTCTTAAGGTGATCCTTTAAATTGAAAGCTCAGACCATCTTGATTATTCCAAAAAATTTTTTCTCTTTCCTTATTGATTAAGGTATTACATATGTGTCCTTATCTCCCATTGCCCCCCCACCCCCTCCACTCTTGCCTTCACCACCCTGGTATCTGTGTCCATTGGTTAGGTTTATACGCATGCATACATGTCCTTTAGTTGATCTCGACCTCTAACCCCTGCTCATTTTTAGTTAGCATAGATGGCAGACATTGGAATTGGAATAATCTTTAGTTCAAGTTAGAATCCATTATTGGAATTTCTGACACAAATGAACAGTTCAAACAAGCTTCTCACCCATGAATAACAAATTCTGTTGTCTTTGTTCACCTTTTCTGTTTCCCTAAGCCTAATTTTTATTTAGTAATAATAATAATTGCCCAGCAAGTGTGGCTCAGTGATAAATTTCATCCTTCAGCAAATAATTGCTGAATATTTTTAATGAGCTTCATGTTGCCTGGTCAATGTGAGAGATAATGAAGAAATAATAGGTAGGGAAGAGGGAAAGACATTCTAAGCAGAACCCTGTTCAGTAATGGTGAAATCTATTTATCCCAACCTTTTACAGATCTGTAGTTATATTTATATATTGGCATTTATTTTAAAGTCCTCTCTTTTAGTTTATGGAGCTTTGAATGGAGGCATTCCATAAAATATAATAGGTAAGACTTAATGAATGACTGATGATGTTGGGCAAATTTTAGTATTTCTAACTAATAAAAGAGATTTTACTATATTTATTTAATCTACTGGTATAATAAAAGCATACAAAGTCTATTTATCAAAACACTTAAGTGCCAGTCACTAAGTATTTTAAAAATATTGACTTATGTAATCTTTGTAACAACCCTATTAAAGAAGACAATTATTATCAGTTTTATTTTACAGATGGGGAAGTTAAGACACAGAGAGGCGATGTTCCGGTCACTTAGCTAATAAGCATCTAAGTTGTAATTTGAACCCATAGTGTATGCTATGCTGCCTGTTTACTTAATGTAGATAGCTTAATAGCAATGAATCAACATTTTCAAATCAATGCATTTTATTGTTTAAAAATATTTTACAGGTGAACTTCTCAATAAAGTCTTAATAGAGGTTTTAGTGATGCTTTAAACAATAATTTGATTAATAGCATCATTTGTTGATAAGTATTTTATTTTTTACTAGAGGCCCGTTGCACAAAAATTTGTGCACTCGGTGGGGGGTCCCTTCGCCCAGCCTGTGTCCTCTCACAGTCTGGGATCCCTCGGGGGATGACCACTTGCTGGCTTAGGCCTGCTCCCCTGGGGATTGGGCCTAAGATGGCAATCAGACATCCCTCTGGCAGCCCGGCAGCCCTCA